GGGATATTCCATTTAAAAACAAAAATTGTCATGTTTCATTGCGTTATCACAAATAAAACAATTGTCTCAAAACTACACTCTAAAAATGCTAGGTTATTATAACCCAACTTTGGGTCAAATGTGGACAAACCCAAACGTTGGGTTAAAAATGTATTAAAAAATGTAACCTAATGGCTGGGTTTGTCCATATTTGACCCAAAGTTGGGTTAAAACAACCCATGCAATATGCTTATAAAAGCATTACCACATTTTTAATAATATGTAAATATATCACGGTCAAGATGTCCTAGGCTTTTGGCCACTACTATATACAGTATATTTACAAATAACATGACTTGATTTACTTATATTTGTTTTTGGAGTATTTTTAGAATTGATGGACAATTATAACAGTACAAATCTAACAACATGCTAAAAACTTTTGCTCGGGCAAGCACTGTTTACATTCTGAAAATATAAAAATCGAGTTTATATAAATGGTAATAGTAGAGCAACACTGGATAACTTCAGTCAGCCAAGTTCATTCATAAATATGCTTTAGTTGGTCCTTGTAGTAGAACAAGCTTCTATTATAATATACTGTCTGCTTTTGGAACGGAGCCCACTCTGCAGATATCTTGGCGCAGTGAGCTTCCTGGAAGTCCCAGTGAAATTCAAGGGGGAGTGAAAGCTAATACTTTACTGTACTGTCAGAGAAGTCTCTCAGCATAAGGAACCTTTACATCTCCCTCAGCTCAGCATGTATGAAACTGAAATGAATGCTTCTAATGTTGGGTCAGACAGACTCCCCATTGTATTGTATTGTATTGATTTTTATTTAAAGGGACCATGTGCAATTAATAACATAAATGTAAACATTTGATGCATTACACCAGAGTTAGCCTTAGGCTAATTTACATCTGCAGTCCCCCGGCACAAATAAATACAGATACATACGACACAGATTAAAATATCAATACTATTCAAGAATATTTGGCATATCAAACATAAAAACATCCAACATTCTTCAAGAGCATATAACATGTACTTAATAACCTCACTGACACGCACACGCACGCACACCACACACACACACACACACACACACACACACACACTCACACACACACTCACACACTAAAATCACAACATACAACGATATGTCCACCCACAACCCCTTCTCAACCCTATAATAAAAAGGTAAATGTGACTGAAAAATAATTTTACTTAATAATAAATTAGTGGATACATTGTTGCGAAAATTTTAAATGTTTTTTTATATTATCTTTAAAGTGCCCAAACGAATCAGATGTTTTTATATTGTCTGGAATTATATTCCATTGTATTGCAGCTTTGATAGAAAAGGCTGTCTGCCCAAATGCTGAATAGCGAAAGGGTACAGTACAGCTATATACAGAATCTAGTCTAGTGGTCCTCACAGAGCCACGGTAACAGATAAACTCACGCAAACATGTGGGGGCCAGACCTTTTAAAATTTTATAAACTGTGCATAAATTTGAGAACAATCTAAAATTTTCAAAAGTTAGTGTTATATTACACCCATGTTATAGTGTTTCTGTTAAAAACTCTTTTTTGAGAATTAAAGACTTTTGGTATACATATCTAGTATCATGTTTGTAACCATATTAATAATTAGTTCTAAAAATTAGGCTTGTTATAGCCAATAAAGCATTTTTTGTTAAAAAAAATGAAAATAAAATAGTTTAAAAAATAGTCAATTTTCATATGGAATATATTAAATATTATACTATTTTACAAAAAAAAATATTTGTATAATTTTATTTTAAGATTTAGATTAGACATATTATCTATTATAATAGGTATAATAGGATTTTTTTTATGAAGGTTTTTTTTATTTATTATTGGTGATGTCAATTCTATATGGTAATTTGCTGATTAATCAAAACAATCTATTAAAGGTGGTTAAAAACAATATAAATATTTTTTTTATTTAATTATGCTGATTAATATTAATCATCGTATGGAATAATTAAATCATAATCTTTTAGTTAAATATAATTTTCAATTTAATTTTTAATTTTGACTGACACTCCTAGCTAACATATAAATGTATAAATAGGATATATTTAAAACAGCATTATTTATTTATTATTTTTTACAATTCTTAAAACTAGGTAGCTTTTGTTGCTAAATATTACAATCTTTTATTTTGCTTTATTTTACATTTGTCCTTTATCTTTATTATATTAACTGAAGACTATACTTATATGCTTATACAATAATAATGGAGGACCAGAGTGTTTTTGTGTGTATCTTCCTCTCTCTTTCTGTTTTTCTTCCTTTGATATGGACAGAGGCAAAAGATGACCTACTTAAGACGGCTGAATAATCTGTTGAATTAGGCCAGTGTTTCATATTTCATTCTTTTTGTTCATTTAAGAGCTCAGATTCCACAGGAGATTTTGATAAGCGCAGAAGCGCTCCCTCTGATGGGTCAGCTGTGTGTTGGTGGACCCTGCCTGATTTTAAAGCCTGTTTGACTGAAGGCACCCTGAAGAGTTAACTGCAACACCCTAACAATAACAACCACCAAGAACACCCTAGCAACACCCTAAAAACCACCCAGAAGACCCTAGCAACACCATAGAAACATTCAGAACACACAAGCAATACTCTAAAACATCCAGAACACTCTAGTAGCAACACCCTAACAGCCACCAAGAGCACCCTAGCAACACCCTAACAACTACCCAGAACACATTAGCAACCACCTAAAAACACCCAGAAGATCCTAGTAACACCCAGAACACCCTAACAAAAACATAATCTAAAACCAGCCAGGATACTCTAGCAATACCATAACAACCAGCAAGAGCACCCTAGCAACACCCTAACAACTATCTAGAACACAGTAGCAACCACCTAGCAAGCAACACCCTAATAACCACACAGAAGACCTAGAAACATCCATTACACTCTAACAATACCCCAAAACATCCAGAACACACTAGTAGCAACACCCTAACAACCACCAAGAGGACCATTGCAACACCCTAAAAACCACCCAGAAGACCCTAGCAACACCATAGAAACATTCAGAACACACAAGCAATACTCTAAAACATCCAGAACACTCTAGTAGCAACACCCTAACAGCCACCAAGAGCACCCTAGCAACACCCTAACAACTACCCAGAACACATTAGCAACCACCTAAAAACACCCAGAAGATCCTAGTAACACCCAGAACACTCTAACAAAAACATAATCTAAAACCAGCCAGAAGACTTTAGCAATACCATAACAACCAGCAAGAGCACCTAGCAACACCCTAACAACTATCTAGAACACAGTAGCAACCACCTAGCAAGCAACACCCTAATAACCACACAGAAGACCTAGAAACATCCATTACACTCTAACAATACCCCAAAACATCCAGAACACACTAGTAGCAACACCCTAACAACCACCAAGAGGACCATTGCAACACCCTAAAAACCACCCAGAAGACCCTAGCAACACCATAGAAACATTCAGAACACACAAGCAATACTCTAAAACATCCAGAACACTCTAGTAGCAACACCCTAACAGCCACCAAGAGCACCCTAGCAACACCCTAACAACTACCCAGAACACATTAGCAACCACCTAAAAACACCCAGAAGATCCTAGTAACACCCAGAACACTCTAACAAAAACATAATCTAAAACCAGCCAGAAGACTTTAGCAATACCATAACAACCAGCAAGAGCACTCTAGCAACACCCTAACAACTATCTAGAACACAGTAGCAACCACCTAGCAAGCAACACCCTAATAACCACACAGAAGACCTAGAAACATCCATTACACTCTAACAATACCCCAAAACATCCAGAACACACTAGTAGCAACACCCTAACAACCACCAAGAGGACCAACACCCTAATGACTACCCAGAATACATTAGCAACCACCCAAAAACACGCAGAAGACCATAGAAACACCCTAGAAACATCCAGAACAACCTAACAATAATATAATATAAAACCAGCCAGAAGACTCTAGCAAAACCATAACAACCCGCAAGAGCACCCTAGCAACACCCGTACAACTATCTAGAACACAGTAGCAACCACCTAGCAACATCCTAGAAACATCCATAACACTCTAACAATACCCCAAAACATCCAGAACACTCTAGTAGCAACACCGTAACAACTACCCAGAATACAATAGCAACCACCTAAAAACCCCCAGAAGTCCATAGAAACACCCTAGAAACATCCAGAACACCCTAACAAAAATATAATATAAAACCAGCCAGAAGACTCTAGCAATACCATAACAACCAGCAAGAGCACCCTAGCAACACCCTAACAACTATCTAGAACACAGTAGCAACACCCTAAAAACACACAGAAGACCTAGCAACACCCTAGAAACATCCAGAACACCCTAGCAATATTCTAAAAATATCCAGAAGACTAGCAACACCCTAACTACCCCCTAGAACCCTATAGCTTCAAGGCCTGTGCAAAAGTTGCTTGAGAAAATGTAAATATCTAGTTGTCACTGGGTATTACTGGGTATGACATCAGTACAAACAACTGGGATTATTGGATCTGTTTGTGTGGCCACTCCACGGGTGGCGGATGGTTGATGTGGACTGACTGTTTCACCAGCTGTTGTTTTGGGACCAGTGTTGGGCTGTCAGTTGTTTTTCAGTCTGAATCTGCAGTTAAATGGACGCTTGAGGATGTTGATGGTATCTGTTGAGCTCTTGGTCCAAGGCTGCAATTACTGTCTCCTTTTAGCCTGGGAACTGCAATCGTGCTTGTTTCTTCGACAACTGCTTGTCTGTTTAGATGTGGTAGCATTTTCTCCTTAATCTTTGATTTTTTTTTTTTTTTTTTGCATTATGAACAGTAAACGTTTTTAGGGAACCACCCAGAACACTCTGAACTGAGTGGTTCTCTTTTCTTATTCAGAAAAGAAAAAGATTAATTTGTTGTAATAATGATGATTTAAGTTGTATGCTATTTAATTGCAGGGATGCTGCAGAACGGTAAGAAGTTTGACTCGTCACGAGACAGAAACAAGCCCTTCAAATTCAAGATCGGCCGACAGGAAGTCATCAAGGGCTGGGAGGAAGGAGTTGCACAGGTATTCGAGATCGTACTCTGGAGCTTATCTTATTCTTTGGAGTATATTTGCTCTGTAATATTTCTACCTAATTTCAGATGAGTTTGGGTCAGCGGGCGAAGATCACCTGCACCCCAGATATGGCTTATGGGGCCACAGGGCACCCTGGTGTCATTCCTCCCAACGCCACCCTTGTATTTGATGTGGAGCTGCTGAAACTGGAGTAAACCACTAGCTGTTACGGGTCGCCCCACCAACAAAACCTTCATCTAAAAACTCTAGACATCATCTTTTGTGTTTGTTTGCCAACAAATGCAATATGTAGACACTGTTTAGTTACTTTAAATCTTTTTTACACATTGCCTTAACACTATTTTGGCATCTTGTTTTCATTTTGATTCATCCAGTGTTTTTTTCATACTACATTTTCCTGAAAATATGTGAATACAATAGAATCATTAAATCAGTATTTTAATTTGTACTAGACTGAATCCACCACCTTACTGAATTTAGTAGGGTTAGTATTTTACCAAACGGTATAATGAGTTATAATTATTCTGAGGGGCATTAACAACCACTGTCTGCATTGCCACTTTTGATAAAAGTGTATCCTGCTGAATGCATGTGATATAAGGATAATGTTACTGTATTTACTATATATTTTATATATAAATCCATCCCTTATAAATATTTGCTGTAAGTCTCATTCGTGGAACAAACTGAATAATGTACGATGGAGTGCATCAACTTGCTCTTAATAAAGACATTTTAACTCTTGGAAATCTTTGTGCTGTTCATGTAATTTGATCAGATACATTAACAGTGTAATAATGCTGTATTAATCTGTTCTCCTGCTACTGTAAATAAGATAAGAGAGAGCAGGAGATAAGAATATTTGGTGTTTCATAACTTGGAGGTGAGACATTACATTTTTACATTAAACGTTCAAGGTTTTCAAGCTTCTTTAATATGATACATAAAATAAAAAAGTGAGAGAGTGTTTTAAAGTGATATAAAATAAATTATGTAAAAAAAAATGGCGTTCTGACTGGAGGCTTACACTAGTCTGTCTGGTGTTTCATAATGCATATTTTAATTACTGATAATGCATAGCATGCGCGCAAAAAACTAAATATTTATGCAGAGACACTACAGGTTTGCCAAATTATCAGTCGTTATGAATTGTAATAATGACAAATAATTGTGCAAACCTACAGCGTATATTTACATAAAATTTGGCATATGTCACCACCTGCTGGAATTAAGTTGACATAACGATTGCATAAATATATTCCATTGGGCTCTCCTGCTATATTGGTACGGTCAAAAAAAACACAAGTTGACTGTGCATGAATATCTACATCTGACTTCAGATGATTCCAGTAGCAAACTGACACAAAACAGCTAGGCGAAGGCGTAAGCTAACATGGCACGCTGACCGTTCCAAGATGGCTGGCGAACCGACATTTCTGAAGCATTTCTATATATCATTGTAAGACCGTCAAAATAATAATCGGCGAGAGGGTGACGTATCTCATTATAAAAAACGAAACTATACTACACTTGCTATACTATAACTATAACTGTAATTTTGCGGGTCTTAACCACAAAAAACGAATCTTTAAAAAAAATACTAAACGGAACCTTTGATTCAAAGCCTCAATATCGTCCGTGTACTTATGCAGTGCACATCCGGGTCAGAGTTGATGCTGATTGGCTGGATCTGGTTTGTTGTTAAATGTGATTGGCTGGAGCGCTGTACGCCTGTCAGCGTGTCATCATCAGTGTCTGGTAAATAGAAGAACGCAAGGTCAGAAATAGCTTTTGGTTTGCTCTTAAATGTTCTGTTTTAAAACATTATGATGTCACCGCTTGCATTTAAATGTTATTTCATCAGGCACTGTCCTAAATTATCTATTATTGTTAGTATGTAAAGGCTCCAAACGGGATAATCTAAATTGGCCTGTAAGTTTGCAAACTTTAATGGATAATAGTGAAAGTGGCTGACGAGCCGTGACGGATACGGCTTTAAATGTGATATTTGCTAATATATTTTGTTTAATGGTAATATAAATGTAATGTACTAGAAATTTCATAATATAATAGGTACTGTTTGATGACGTTTGCTAGTGGAGGCTTTACCAGGTATTTTTAGTCACAACAGTCGTATTGTGTGGGTGACTTTCAGTATCCAATAGCAAAGACTGCATGCTAATCACCATATACTTATTTACACACACACAATAAAACACATAATAATACAAAAAAAATGCAGTGAAGGCCTGTTTCTTTTATTTCTTTTTATTAGATACCCTTGAGTAACTAAACTTGCTCTCACATACCCAATGCATACAACATGTTGACCGCACGGAAGGCATGTGTGTCTGTGACAGCCAGACGACTGCTGGGAGCGTCTGTATCCTTGACCCTTGACCCCCAGCGCCACCCCAGACAGTTCCGTACGGCCACCCCACTCCGAGATGAAGTGAAGATCCACGAGGGCTGGGCTGCCCTGGCCAAGAAGCAGCTGAAAGGGAAAAACCCAGAGGATCTGATCTGGAAGACCCCTGAGGGCCTCTCCATTAAACCCGTATACACTCAGGCGGACAGGGCCGCGGTGGAAGATGAGCTGCCCGGAGTCTTCCCTTACACCCGAGGGCCGTATCCCACCATGTACACCTACAGACCCTGGACCATCAGGCAATATGCCGGCTTCAGCACTGTAGAGGAAAGCAACAAGTTTTACAGGGACAATATTAAAGGTATGACATCACAATATTAAAAATATACCAGTTCACTCTCAAGAAAATTTGAGTTAAAGAGATAGTTCACCCAAAAATGAAAATTAAGTCATTAATTAATCACCCCCATACTGTACCAACCCCGTAAGACCTTTGTTTGTCTTTGGAACACAAATGAAGTTATTTTTGGTTAAATTTGAGAGGTGGATCACTGCTACATAGGCTGCCTAAGGGATTGAAACTTGACGGCCCAGAAAGTCAATGAAGAAAATGTTTAAATATTGCATGTGACAACAGTGGCTCAACTATAAGTTTATCAAGTGACGAGAATACAACCCTCTAAAATCCTAGAGGGTCTTAAAATAAATATTTTAGGTTAAAAGGGGTTCAGTTGATTAAAAAAAAAGATAAAAGTCATGTAAATTCCCTTTTCAGCGGGCCAGCAGGGCCTCTCTGTGGCCTTTGACCTCGCGACGCACAGAGGTTACGACTCGGACAATCCCAGAGTTCACGGGGATGTGGGAATGGCAGGCGTAGCTATCGACACCGTAGAGGACACCAAGCTGCTGTTCGACGGCATCCCGCTGGAGAAGATGTCGGTATCCATGACGATGAACGGAGCCGTCATTCCCATTCTAGCCATGTTCATCGTGAGCGGAGAAGAGCAAGGCGTTCCCAAGGAGAAACTGACCGGCACGATCCAGAACGACATTCTCAAAGAGTTCATGGTGCGAAACACCTACATCTTCCCTCCAGAGCCGTCAATGCACGCCATCGCCGATATCTTCGCTTACACTTCAAAGGTACAGCTTGTGTGACATGACATATAGATGCCATCCTTTCTCTCTCTTTATATTTCTTCCTTCTACATAACTTCTTTTTTGTCTATGAATAGGGTTGGGTATCGAGAATAGAGTATCGATTGGAACCGGGACTAACTTTTCGTTTTTCCCGGAATCGTTCAAAAGTTAAAATTTCGATTCCTAGTTTCGATATTCACAGTCCGCCGAGCGGAAGAAGAAACTGCTGAACAACACCAATGAAGAAGCGTCTACCGGAAGTGTTAGCATAACTGCGCGAGTCGAACATGAGTAGCTTACGTCGGCGGTCCAAAGTGTGGCTTCACTTTTCTAAAAATAACGAAATCTCGGCAAAATGCAAAATTTGTGACAAAAGGAGTATTTCTTTCAGAAAGGATTATTTCCTTCAGAAAGACCGTTGGTTAGCAAGGTTAGCTAAACTTTTTTGACCCTGCCTCTTAAAAGAATCGGAATTGAGAATCGTTAGGAACCGGAATCGAAACAAGGAATCGGAATCGGAATCAGAATCGTTCAAATTCAAACGATACTAAACCCTATCTATGAACTTTAAAAACATACTTTTAAGAAGATTAAGATTCATTTTGAATCTTATACTGACTTGTATTGATATAATATTCAGCATATGATGCTGGACATTGATGTTGCCTTTGTAATATTTACATATTGAAGTGTGATTGATTTCTTAGTCTCCTCTACTCCGTTTAACACATTGAAATGTCTTCTTACAGAATATGCCCAAGTTTAATTCTATTTCCATCAGTGGATACCACATACAGGAAGCTGGCGCTGATGCCATCCTTGAGTTGGCTTACACTATTGCCAATGGACTGGAATACTGCAGGACCGGACTGAAGGCTGGACTCACCATCGATGAGTTCGCTCCCAGGTTAAGAACTCTCTACAATTCTACAATTCCATATTATCATTGCTTATAATATATTAGTATTATACGCATTGTATATTATTAAAAATAAAAAATTTAAAATAATAAAAAACATGTGAAATAATATATTACACAATGCTTATTAAACAATAATGGTAATAATATTAATAATAAAATAACTGATACATAATGATGATAATTATAATAATAATAATAGAAAAACACATCCATTCATATTTAATTTTGTAATTAAGTAATGAAATGTAATTAATTATTAATGAAATGTATTAAACTATTGATTGTATACACATTATTATTAGTAGTAGTATTATTAAACATGTTAAATGATATATTAATACATAAATACAAATTATAATCATATTGATAATAAAATAATACATTATTATTACTACTACGACTATTATTATTATTAACGTTATTATATTACACAGTAGGTATTAAATAAAAATTATAATCATATTGATAATAAAATAATACATTATTACTATTATTATTATTTATTATTATTAACATTACATGACACAATAGATATTAAATACAAATTGTAATCATATTGATAATAAAATAATACATTATTATTACTACTACTATTTTTTTTATTATTATTATATTACACAATAGATATTAAATACAAATTATAATCATATTGATAATAAAATAATACATTATTATTATTACTATTAACATTATTATATTACACAATATATATTAAATAAGTTCTAATCATATTGATAATAAAATAATACATTTATTACTACTGCTATTATTAATTACATCATTAATCATAATATGAATAGTATTAGAAATGCATATAATTAATCAATCTGTTTCTTAAATACAATTTTAATTGATACATTAAAATGAAAATACAATGAAAATGCATAGTGGTGGGAGGAAAGTGTGGCTTAGTGCGATCATCTAATATCTACATTGGGGGCGTGGTCAGGTTTCCCTTCTTTTTTGTCTTTAGCTGATCACATGTTGACTTTTCTAAAGGTTTCATATACAGTATTGTGATAACTCTGCATGGTCTCTTTTTAGACTGTCATTCTTCTGGGGCATCGGCATGAATTTTTATATGGAAATAGCGAAGCTGAGGGCAGCGCGACGACTGTGGGCGACACTCATCAAAGAGAAGTTTCAACCCAAGAACACCAAATCCCTCCTGCTGAGAACTCACTGTCAGACATCTGGATGGTCCCTCACTGAGCAGGTACTGTGACGTTTACAGCTGCTTCTCTTTGAAAGATGATGGACAGTAGCTTGTTAAACAAGCCGTGGTGGTGCAGTAAAGCGTAACAGTGTTAACTCGCATC